TATATATATTTTCCAAAATGTAACCTAAAATTCCTTTTCATTTCGTTTTAATACATATATCTTTTTTTCTTGCATTATTATTTAAGCAAATGACCCATTTCATATGAATATATTCAACGATTTCTTGATAGTAAAACATAATAAAGGGGAGTAATCAAAGTTTACCCTGCCTTTTGATTGGTTAATTTGGATCTTGAATCTCGAAACTCGAATTTCGAATCTCGAATTTCGAATCTCGTATTTCGAATCTCGAATCTCGAATGAGCCTTCTGGGCTTTCGTACTTTAGTCTTGTGTTTTCACTCTTCAACGTTATAACTCTTTAGTCTTGTGTTATCACTCTTTAGTCTAGTGTTTTCACTCTTTAGTCTTGTGTTTTCACTCTTCAACGTTATAACTCTTTAGTCTTTAGTTTAGTGTTTTCACTCTGCAGTCTAGTGTTATCACTCTTTATTCTAGTGTTTTCTCCCTCTATAGTCTAGTGCTATCACTCAATAGTTTAGTGTTTTCATTCCTTAGTCTAGTGTTTTCACTCTGCAGTCTAGTGTTATCACTCTGCAGTCAGGCCTGAGTGCCATAAAACTTTTGACGAGCTCACTTTTGATCTCAGTCTTACTTTTTCACTACACAGTGTACGTGTTTCATTGGAACGTTACATCAAAATCATTCTAGAATTAAAGCAAAAGAGACACCAAACTCTCTTCACGTCTCAAAATTCAATTCATTCACAGTAAAAGCAATGCACACGAACAACAGGAACACAAAGAAATGTACAGTTGATGCGCTGTTGCCATAAATATAAAACGATTGCTTGCTCTACTTTATAGTATGGACGATTGTCTAACCGCTTCTTCCGTTGGATATCCTACTTTTTTATTGTCTTACCAAGATCAAACTAATTCCAAAATATATGTATTAATAAATTGTTAGTGGCTTAGCTATGCAATCGGTCTCTATATCTTCCTGGAAATGATTGACCTTTACTTAATCCCTTTGTATTCGTCAACGACATCACTTAGAGGGTGGTGCATTTTACTGGCACACTGCCGAACCAATGTAGAGGAAGAAAAGGTTACCAGGGTACGTTCTTGCACCTGCGCTATTCGAAATATATGCACTCTTAGCAGTGGAACCAATACATGTCCTTAGAGAATACAAGATAAAATAGTACATCAGCAAAATGGATCGATTGCTGCATGCTAGTTTTTTACTCTTAAGGAAAGTTAAGCATGAAAAAGCCATGAGTAGTTATACAAACGAAACTCATGATTTACGAACATATTGCCCTGGCTTCCCACACACATGATTTCCATAAGCCGGCTACCTCTCTCAAGAGGATGGCCTACACAAAGGCACGTCGCGGTTTCGAATCCTACTGTGGGACATGGAGACCAGTCTTTTGGATGAGACCGTATAAACCGAGGTCCCGTGTCTCAGTTGGTGCTGGCACAAAAAAGACACCCCCTGCTCAATGGCCCTGAGTGCCAAGTATAGGACAAAATTTGCAGCTCTCCACCGGTAAGTGGTGGCGTCCCCATATGGGAAAACATTCTCAAGAGGGACGTTAAACAGCATAGAATCAATTAATCTACAAAGGCCTTTGAAAAAATGTAAATTAAAGGAAAAGTTTGGGCGAGGCAATATTTTTAATGATAAGAAACCCAAATGCTCATATGCTTGCTGATGCAACTCAGGAATGACTACCAACCAGAGATTCTAATTTTAATAGTTACGTGTTCAACTAAGTCTGCAGAACTATACATTTGGCTTGGCATATATCAAATATAAATCAGCCTCATTACTGTAGGAATTGCAAGTGGCCTAATTGACGAATCCTTCCTACTTAAGAAATGAATACATCCTCATAAAGAACAAACCCTCTCTATATGTAATATAATTTAATTGACGTTCAGAAGGAAATGTTATTTCTTTAAAACAAAGCTATAGTAATGTTTTATCCGTTGTCATCCTTCCCTTCATGCTTCTCTTAAGCAGACATCTTTTCCAGAATCCTGTATCAAATAAAAACAAATTAAAAACAGTTAATGAAAAGTGTTTAAGAATAAAATGGAGCATGATCGGTTTCAGAATAAAAGATTGTTTTGCATCAATTGCAAATTTTTAGTTTCGTTTTCTTAAAAGAAAAATTTGTAAAGGTATAAAGATACCAATACAATTAAATACCGGAATTTAAACAGTCATTAAAATAAATATTTTCTTTAATACATATACATGTACACATGTATGGGACATCTCTTTCCATACAAATGGAAAATGAGAAATTAAATAATGTAGTTTTGCTATACCTTAAAATAATCTATGCCAAAGAAGAACAGCTTTCTTGGGCCAAACAAGCCATCATCATCATCTTCATCATCGTCATAACAATCATCATCCTTATTCAAAAGCTAAAAGTTTAAAAATAGTACAGTTTAGTTATATATTTCAATGAAACTTTTTGTGTTAACTTTCAAAAAAATATAAAAAAGATTATAGTATATAAGTATATAAAGTATGAAATGCATGAAAATTTTAACCAGTTTTCTTTCTCTTCCTAACTGTAACACATATTTCATTTACAAATGACATATTTTTTAATACCTCAAGTGATATCTTCTGATCCTTGTTGACTTCTAGTTTCATTACTTCTGGTTTGTGTATATCAATACATTCATGTTTTTCCTGCACAGATGTTACTTTTTTATCCACAGAGGTCATTGTATTGCACACTGTTGACATAATTACTGAGGTATTTGGAAAAGGATCCGTTAAAACATCTACCGAGGTTTCTATAATGCATACTAATGCTTGTTCAGACACATCTCTATTCTTTGTAGAAGTTTTGTTGCACACATTGTCCTTTTTGTCAACCACTATATCCTTTTCGTCTGGTATCTCAACAACTACTGTAAATCACGTTTTATTCGCGAGAACTTTATTTTCACTTAATTACGCGAGACAATGAGCTCGCGAAAATTTCATTCTCGCGTATAAAAGTATTTCTTACGTTTATATAGAGGTAAAACAACAATTCGTGAAAATTAAGTCTCGACAATAAAGAGCCAATGACTATCTCGCGAAAATAAGGTGTCGCGAAAATTTAGTGATCTACAGCATGTCCTTTTCAGTTGGTTCCTCAACAACTATATCCTTTTCATTTAGTTCCTCAAAAACTATATACTTTTCAATGGATTCCTCAATAACTTCATCCTTTTCATTTGGTTCCTTGACAACTTCATCTTTTTCAATTGGTTTCTCAACAACTTTATCCTTTTCATTTGGTTCCTCGATAATTATAACCTTTCCATTTGGTTCCTTGACAACATCCTTTCCATTTAGTTCCTCGACAACTATATCCTTTTCATTTGGTTCCTCAACAACTCAATCCCTTTTATTTGGTTCCTCAACAACTATATTCTTTTCATTTGGTTCTTCAACAACTACTGGTATATCCTTTTCATTTGGTTCTTCGACTACATGTATATCCTTTCCATTTGGTACCTCGACAACATCCTTTCCATTTGGTTCCTCAACAACTGTATCCTTTTCATTTGGTTCCTCAACAACTATATTTTTTCCATTTGGTTCATCAACATTTATATGCATTCCATTTGGTTCCTTGAAAACATCCTTTCTATTTAGTTCCTTGACAATCATATCCTTTTCATTTGGTTCCTCAACAACTACATCCCTTTTATTTGGTTCCTCGACAACTTTATCCTTTTCATTTGGTTCCTCAACATTTATATCCTTTCCATTTAGCTCCTCGAAAAATCCTTTCCATTTAGTTCCTCGACAATTATATCCCTTTCATTTGGTTCCTCGACAACTATATCCCTTTTATTTGGTTCCTCCACAACTATATCCTTTTCATTTGGTTCCTTGACAGCTATATTCCTTTCATTTGCTTCCTTGACAACTATATCCTTTCCATTTGGTTCCTTGACAACTTCCTTTCCATTTATTTCCTCAACAACTATATCCTTTCCATTTGAATCCTCAATGACTTGATCCTTTCCGTCTTTTTTCTCAACCACTTTATCCTCACCCTCCTTATCCCTGACTTCTTGATTGTCACATCCTTTTTTCTGAACTGCTGCTTTGACAACTGCTTCTGATTTCTGGGACACTTTTGATTTACACACTTCTGTTTTCTCAGTATCTGCAAGTGATTTTGCTATTTTTTCATCATTTGCTGGATCCTCAAATATAAGACTAATTTTCTTCACATCCTTTGGGGTTTTTGGAACAAAGGCTTTCTTCTTATCTCCAAATGCTTTTAAATTTAATGCCTTTTTTGTATTCCCTGCATCTTTTTGTTTCGTGCCTTTTCCAGTCTAAAAAGTGAGGAAAATAAGTCTATATAGCTTATGTTTTCATTATATATTTAATAATTATCTTATTACCATATACTTTTTGTTTTAGAAGGAAAACATTATGTATAGGTTTTGCCTCCTTCAAAAATAAAAAGGCGATTGGGATAATGTGAAATAAGAGTTGCCACTTTACAGTAAAACACATTTATAGCGAACACTCTTATAATGAAATGACACTTACAGCGATGTGCTTTTCATTTCCCTTGTCTTGATTATGTATTGTACACTTGATAGATATAACGCATTATGTTTAAAATGAGGCAAAATTGTCCGACCCTGGCAGTTCGTTATAAGCATGTTTTACTGTATTAACTTTATCACGTGGAAGTGTGAATGACAATGCTTTTACTATAATAAAATGTCTAGAACTGTTCTATGAAAAAAAATTAGGTGATATTGAATTTTGAATCAATCAACAGAATATGTACCGGAATTTTGGCCTTTTCCTCTTCTTCTACTTGATCTGCCCATTTGTAGTCAAACTTGAGATTCTGGAGCTTTGTTTCCTGTAAATAGTATAAACAAATAACGAACCTGCAGCTAAATACGTAATAAATATACATGTAGAAGAATTTACATTTAACGGGTAATAACTCATAAAAAAATTCTAAAGGTAAATACTTACCCAATTTTTAACCGCCTCATCTCCAAAGTCTAAAGGTGTTGTAAATCTGCAAAAAATAAACTTAGTAGATGAATTCAATATTTCATGGATTTTGCACACAGGCACCTGTTTCGGAAATAAATGTTCAACCCATAATTATTATTCTATGGGTTAAAAATTTATTTCCAAAACAAGTGCCTGTGATTTTGCATTACATCTAAGTACCACCAAATAGGATACAGAGAACGATATAGATATTCATGTATATGATGGTAAGTTTTGGGTCAGTGATTGCATTATCCTACCTGTTGTCATTTGTTTTGTTATTTTTCTTCTCTTCTGCAATTTCTTTCTCCAACTTTTTCTTCATCTCTCTTTTCTGCCTTTGTTCCTCCTACCAGAAAAAAGTCGGGTTAGTATAAAACAAAAACATGAAAATGGCTGATCGAAGTGTATATCATTGTCCAAAATTATACATTAACACATGCTATTAGCGAAGTGTCAGGGACGTGCAACATATTTACTAGTATCTTATACAGAGATAATTTCTATTAGGTAACTTATACATAGATAATTTCTATTAAGTTATGTATGCATAGATAATTTCTATTATGTAACTTATACATAAATAATTTATATTAGGTTATTTATACATAGATAATTTCTATTATATAACCTATACATAGATGTACCTCTATACGTCTCTCTTCCTCCTCCACAGCATCAACCCACGAATAATCAAACTTAAGTATCTTCAGTTTTGTCCTGAAAATATTCATTTCAACAACAAGTTTTTTTGTTTTTTTTGAGAAATTGAATGCATTAAAAAGATTGAGGGGGATTCTAGTTATTTTTGCTTGTCAAGAAATTTGAAATTTTGCTTTATAGATCCATCCAACAGATAATGCCCCCCCCCCTCGAAATCTCTTAAATAAAATTCATATTATACTATTAAATATACATGTATTTAGTATTAGATATCTTTTTATTTCCCAATTAGAGGACGTTGGTCTTATGGTTAAAGATTGTAAACAAGTAAACTTACCACATCTGTGACGGGGTTGTCTCCGAAATCCAAAATTGCGTTGTAGTCCATGATTTTTATTCTACAAAATTAAAGGAGAAATATATGTAGCATGAGAATAAGTAATTTTCTTTCACATATTTATGTGTAAGAGAAAACAGAATGAACTAATAATATGTATTGATCTAAAATATCTGGTTGAGATTTACCTTTCTGTGTTTTGTCTCTCTTCTTCACTTTTTGTTGTAGTGATGATTGTTGCGTCACACTCATTGTTGCGTTTTAGTGGTCTTGTTATGATGACGTCATACAGTTTCCATTTTACTTCTTGGATTTTATTTTATAGAAGGGAGGGGGTGTCTCCGATTTTCACGTAAGTCATTCACTTTTTTGCCTACGCTTATGGTAGACCCTTTAAAATTGTGGTCAAAAATCTAAATGTCTTTACATTACATGCTTACTTAGACTAACTTACTCAGTCGGTTTATAGCCTGGTTCCCGAGGCCTTACTGCTTTTTCAGAAAAATTAGCAGCAACTAAACCTTCCTCTAGCAAAATTGATCAGTGTACTTTTACATTGTAACTTACATAATCATTCACCAAGTGCTTCTTGAAACCCAAGAAGGAGGGGGGGGGGGGTCCAAATAAAAAGCTGTGTCCTGTCAAGAATTCCGTCTGATGTTTCATTTAAATTTAATCATAAAAAAGATATCAAAATCTACAGTTTTTGCATGTCAAAAACGCTTTCCTTTGCAAACCCTTTTTTCAATTAAAATTTCTTCATACAGGAAGCTTGAATTTTTTAAAGGATGGAAAGAAAAAAAGCATATTCCAATAGATATGGATTCATATTCATCTAGCATTGACTCTAGGAGACCCATATCGAAGATGATGGACAAAGGGGTGGAAAGGGGGGGGGCAAACAATTCATTATATTGAGGCTCGAGAGCTAATTATTTGTCAAGTTGATTAAAATTTTCAAAATTTCAGTTTTTGTTCCTAAAACAAATTTGATGGAAAAGAAAGCATAACATCAGAGACATACAAGTAAAATTGGTTCAAAGCATTAAATCGCAAACAAAAATTAAAAAAAAATTCTTTCTAAATTTTAAAAGCGTCCATGCAAGGAAAGCACGTCAAGATATTGAATGGTGAAATAGTTGAATCATTTTTATTTCAGGCTGTCTTCAAAGCAAACTATGAAATAATTTTTAAAAATAAATGAATAAAAAGACATTTTACCTCATTTTCTCATATTAGATAGATTTATCGATGTAAAAAAGTCTTTGATAATGGATCTTTGTCACCTGATAATGCCCATGGTTTCTGCAGAGATGCTGCAAACCGTGGTGCAAAATTTAGAAAAATATTTGTTTGTCATTTGCAGCTGTAGAGCATATTCAAAACAATTTTTACTAGTTGAAAAACTTTTAATTTTTTTTAACCATGCACTGAATTTATCACATCATTATTAATGTTATCCGGAAAATCATGATTTCCTTTCATATCTTACACACTCCCAGGCTGGGGAGTATCTATTGTAAACTCTTTTTTATAACCATAAATTATCAATCAATTATCTGATGAGAAATTATAATGAAATAAAATACAATAACGACAATCAATACTTAGTTTAAAGCAATTTTTAAAAAATATTTTACTCATAATTTGTACTTGTTATCATTTAAGAATTATTTTACAGAATACATAATGTATTATTAATAAAAAAAACAACGTCTCATTTCCCCATCTGCACTTTCTAACACAACCACAATAGATCGGCCCCTGCTGCGGCCGATAACAAATAGAAGTAATATTCCAAAGTATGGGCACATTGACATTCATAATATTTGTCGATTATTTCCTTGTCCTATTGTATTACAAAAATAACTTTAACAGAGTTTATTCTCTAAAAAGGTTGAAAAATCCTATCGCATCTCTGAGATATTTCACAGGATTGTTCTATTCCATTTTTGTTGACAACCTCTTAAGAGAATAAATACCCACATCCTTTGAAATAAAAGTCTTTTAAGGTGTTCCATTCGATTAAAATTTAGGGTAACAAATATTCCATAGTACGGAAGCGTTTTAGTGCCACTTGGACACTTCACTTTTTTTAATTTCTACACTTTAATCTACACTTTAAAGTGTAAATTTTACACTTTAATCTGTAAATTTTACACTTTAAAGTGTAAATTTTACACTTTAAAGTGTAAATTTTACACTTTAAAGTGTAAATGTTACACTTAAATCTGTAGAATTTACACTTTAATCTGTAAAATTTACACTTTAATCTATAAATTTTACACTTTAATCTATAAATTTTACACTTTAATCTATAAAATTTACACTTTAATGTGTAAATTTTACACTTTAATCTGTAAAATTTACACTTTAATCTGTAAATTTTACACTTTAATCTGTAAATTTTACACTTTAATCTGTAAAATTTACACTTTAATCTGTAAATTTTACACTTTAATCTGTAAATTTTACACTTTAATCTGTAAATTTTACACATTAATCTGTAAAATTTACACTTTATTTTGAACAACCTAAACTGTTATCGGTTATGATCGAACGGTCGATTTGTGATGTTTTACCTCTGAAAATTGAAAAAAGTATTAAACTGTGATGTTTACAATTGTTTGCATATTTTTATTTTACATGTACTCGTACATGTTTATTAGTAAATGATAAACAAGGATGGACTTTTTCCTCATGGGTCTCGTGATTTTCCCCAGCATAAGAAATCAGGGATCTGCTTTTGTTTCAGTATATACACATGTGTTTCTTTAGTTTTACTATAGTGTAATGAACAGTAAAAATAAATATCTCAAAGATTTTTTTTATTTGCAGTTCAGATTAATATTACACGTTTAAGGTTCTACGGTCATGATGAAATGATATATTAAAATTACGGTCATTTTTTAACGTAGCATTAAAGAAACGTCATTGAATCAAAATATATAAAATTCATTGCCGTTCCAAAATCAATATAAACATACTTTGATATCAATATCATATCACATTCATCTAGAATATGTGCATGTATGTTTGATATGCTCTTCATTTATATTCTAAGAAAAGTTTTACTTGTATCAGTAATACTAATTTGCTTATCATTTGCATTTATTGTGAAATATAAAATCAGAATTAAATATCTTGCATGATTAACGGTCTGTTGGCTTTAAAATGTGTTACTAAGGATGTATGGATTTGCTAAATTGACAATGTGAATAAACAAATAAAGTGTAAAATTTACAGATTAAAGTATGAAATTTACAGATTAAAGTGTAAAATTTACACTTTAAAGTGTAAAATTCACAGATTAAAGTGTAAAATTTACACTTTAAAGTGTAAAATTTAAAGATTAAAGTATAAAATTTACACTTTAAAGTGTAAAATTTACAGATTAAATTGTAAATTTTACAGATTAAAGTGTAAATTTTACAGATTTAAGTGTAAATTTTACATTTTAATGTGTAAAATTTACACTTTAAAGTGTAAAATTTACACATAAAAGTCTAAAATTTACACTTTAAAGTGTAAAATTTACAGATTAAAGTGGAAATTTTACAGATTAAAGTGTAAATTTTACAGAATAAAGTGTGAATTTTACAGATTTAAGTGTAAATTTTACATTTTAAAGTGTAAAATTCACACTTTAAAGTATAAAATTTACAGATTAATGTGTAAAATTTACAGATTAATGTGTAAATTTTACAGATTAAAGTGTAAAATTTACAAACTAAATGTAAAATTTACACTTTAAAGTGTAGAAATTTAAAAAAAAGTGAAGTGTCCAAGTGGCACTAATACGCTTCCGTACTATGGGGAAAAAAGAAAATTTGTCAGTAAATTCACAAATTTGATTTGACATACACTGAGTACTTTTAAACATCTAATTGTTAAGAAAATTTTCCATGCTTTATGGTATGTCATCAAACATTATCCGTGACTTGCAAACATGAACACATCCCGCTGCGTAAATGACGTCATGTCAAATATATTTTAGTTAATAGGTTCTTGATTTATTCCGATTTAAAGAGGCAAAATATTGAAATTTGTGTCAGTGGAAAGTATTGAATAAATACTTTTGATACATATAGGTTTCATCGGATCTTATCGGCGAATGAAAAAATAACCAGAATCAAAATGTTTAGCGGAAATGTCCCACAGCTGGTTAAAATGACGTGGTTGTACGTCAATGTGCATTTCCTACATGTATCAATTTATTTACATATTGTTGTACCCTTCAACCTTAACATGTTAATCTTCGATAAACACCTCTTTGTTTCCTTATACTGTCTTTTCTGTTAAATGTTTTAAAATGATCACCATGAAACGATTATCGCATACAAATGTAGTTATGATTTAAAATCCATACAGTTGCAGAATTTTCTTTTCAAATAGAATAGAAAATACAATGATAGAAAATTAAGACTAGAGGTACTGTGAGCAATGAGCTCACGAAATGATACCTCCCGCCTCCCATATGAATATAATGGCAGTGTCCATGTTTTGTTGTGGGAAAATATGTGTCAAAAAGTAAAATAGGAGGTGCACAATGACGATATGTAATGGAGATTCTGTGAAAGTTTCATCAAATTTCATTCAGCGATATGAGAGGAGTTGCGGATAAGAGATGGGCACCCCAAAGCGTAACATAAATCAAAAACAATTCCATTTATTTAGTAAAAACAACTACCCTCGGTATCACTCATTATCCATTGAAACAAAACAAATCGGTAGAAGAGCAAACACGGACCTCTAAAACATCAGAGGTGATAACAGGTGCTATAAAAAAGAACACCCCTATCGACCAATCACACCTGCCGTATGCTGGTTATCGGGCAACGATGACTTTTAACGACACGGTTGATATCATTGTTTCATCAACTTAATTGTCAGGAGATTGTCCGGTTTTAGAAATTGTTCGTACGTAGAACATATAAACTTCATATGCTGGTGATAAGGTACATATATATGAAGGTAGTAGACACAAATAAGGGAAGTTGGCAACAGAAAAAGGAAGTCATATCGTTTTTCACACAGTTTTGATCACTTTAACGCCTTTTTCTGGTAAAATATCCAAATATGAAACAGATGTGGCGGACACCGTGGTCACCTTTTATTTCAATTCAGTGGGATATATCGAGTCGAAATATGAATGGCAGTAACCATGGTCAGATTTACTGATTATCTTAAGTATAAAGAAAGGCATTGCCAAAATCTCATTCCTAAAATACTTGGACCAAGTATATGTTCTAGTAAATCAGACCTTAAAATAATAATCAAGAATATAACAACTTGATTAAAATGCCTAGATATTTTTGATCCATAATCTCAAAATGAATTATCCGTTTGCAGGAATGATCTGACAATAAGTACAGGACATTTTATCGATCCTTATCAGAAAAAGTTAACAGGTCACAAGACGTTATATATATCTACAGACAAAAATCGTATAAATTGGAGAAAACGTTAAGTTAAAGTTAATCGAACGACTTAATGGAAATAAGCCGTGCTAACATGCTTTCAGGTATTTTGGTTTACGTGGCACTACAGACAGTCTGTTTTGTTAGTGGGAATGACAATAACCAGGAGGTGCTCCGAA